GGGAAGGTTTGTCTGTTGGTAGGAGTAGGAAGTCAGAACAGAGGTGTTGTGGGGTAGGTTTGTTCAGAACAGAAACCAAAGACCAACTTTCCTGAGCAAAAGAAAGAACACCTGCAAATGAAATGCTGTTTCTGCAGCTTCCATTGCTGCTGGCTCTCCTCCCAGGTGCTGACAGTGAGGACGGTAAGAGCTCTGGCAACTGCCCAGCTAAGTACAAGAAGAGGGGTGTGTGTGTGTGTGTGTGTGTCGCACATGTTTGGCACGTGTGTGTATGGGATGGTTTCCCCAACCTAGAGACTGAGAGTATCAGGCAAGTTTCATTCCAGCATCCCTGACTCCAGTCCTTTTGCTCTTTTGAAGGTTTATATAATGCATGGAACCCTGCTGAGATATCTGTGGCTTCGCTTTTCTCCAGATTCCGAGTTTCTCCTCTTTGGCACTTTTCTTTCTCCATTTTTTCCTTCTCAATTCCCCTTCTCATTCTCTTTGTTCTTTTCCCACAGGTTTCCAGGAGCCGGTCTCCTTCCAAATCATCCGTATCTTCTCCTTTTACAACCATTCCTGGGAACATTCTCTGGGCTCGGGTTGGTTGGGGGAGTTGCAGACTCACAGCATGGATAGCAGCTCTGACACTGTCATTTACCTGTGGCCTTGGTCCAGGGGCAACTTCAGCAACGAGGAGTTGATGGAAGTGACAAGGTTATTTCAGACATTCTTCATTAGATTTGCTCAGGCATTTCACAACCATGCCATTCAGTGGATGCTTCACTGTAAGTTCAGTTTCCTTAACAGGGGCTGGGAATATGGGGTGTGTGTGTGAGGGGGGGTGTTTTGTGTGTCTCAATGAGTTTCTTATTCCTCTAGGAAACAGCCTCCACTCATTTCTTGTAACAACTCCCCGCCATAGAGATGCAGTCATATACCTTAAGACAGGCAGTGTAATCCAGACCCTGATTCCTCAAATCGTTCAAGACTTCTGCTACCTACAAACGCCTCTCTCGTTGACTGCAGCCTTTGCTTTATTATCTTCCATGAGTGGTCGCCCCTTTCCCTGATCTCTGAGCAGATAGTCTCAGCTTCCTCACTCTGTGGCTGACTCCTTAAAGTGTGATTTCCTCCCCCATTCAATCTCCTCAGCGACCTCTGTCTGTATATTCAGTGTAACATACTGCATTCCATTCACCCTAGATTTTTATAACCCCCGCCATCTCACACGAAGTCCTTCCTTATTCTCTCACCCGCACTGTTTACGCTGCCTTCTTCAAACACTTTGCCCCTCCCTTTTTGTCATTCATCTCTTTCTGCATCTCCAAATACTGTCAGTTCCCCTTTCTCTGAAGCTCTGATCAAACCAGTTTTGCTTCATTCCCTCAAATCTTCTAAACTCCTCCTTTCTGTTTCTATCTTCTTTGTGTTCAACTCATTTTATTTTATCATTTTCATTCTTTTTCTCTAATTTGCAAACCCTCTTCCCCAGATCCCTTTGAGGTGCAGATAGCAGGAGGCTGTAAGCTGCGCTTTGGAGAAGCCTCAGTAGGCTTTGTGCAGGTTGCTTTTCAAGGATCAGAGTTCCTGAGCTTCCAGAACAATTCATGGTTGCCTTCTCCAGAGGGTGGAGAGATGGCTCAGCTTGTCAGCAGTCTATTCAATTTGTACCAAGGTACCTCGGAAATACTGCACAGGCTGCTCAGCGACACCTGCCCACGTTTCCTCTTGGGTCTTCTTGATGCAGGGAAGGCATATCTCCAGCGACAAGGTCAGTCCTGCACCTGCCCTCCAAGAACTTTCTGTTCTAAAACCAGCTCTTCCCACCATGCCCTTCCAATTTAGGACAAGAAGAAGGCAAGGGGGAGAGGGGATAATGGGTGGCAGGTTCCTAGAGGT